TGAGACCATTCGTAATTGTACATACATATCGAAACACGCTCCGATTAGTAAAGCTGGAGTCGAGAGATACGTTCCCATTTCAGCGGTGTATCGCAAATCTAGCTAAACGTTTAACACGAGTACGCGAGTAAAGAGTACTAAAAAAAAAAAAAAAAAAAAACGTAAGACGAAACTACCGAGCTTAGAGTTTCAAGCAAAAGGTATACAACGGAGGATTTGTTGTGTTTTTTTGTATGCAACATGCGACCATGTCATCAACAGTCAGTCAGATTGAACGAGTCTTTACTGCGGCAAGCCACAAGAAGGTCTGGGATCACTTCACTAAGGCGCAACGGAAAAACATCGAGATGTGGAAGAAACAATCTTCGGTATGTATGTAATGCACTTCACATTCGCTGGTAGTGTGGTCTATATTTCTCCTTTTCTTTATACAATCTTAAAGCAATCGCGGAGTCTTCTCTGTCACAATATGTTCCTTCGCGCGTTTGCACGCTAAGTCCAAACATGCTCGTTTTGCAAATTGTATTTCTAAGCTATCACAGGTAAGTGACAATCAAGGCTTCAAGGTGCCTGTAAAAGGAAAGTGAAAACGGTCAGACACACGCTTCGTGCGTTACAATTCGATATTTTTCCGTGGAATACCGTGATAGTATGGCAGATAAATCCTGTTGGCGACACGCACAACATTAAGAACAACATGTGGAACAGAAGGTAATGCGAAATTAACGTTACGGAAACCGAAAAGCAACTGCAAACTATCCAGCATGGACTCGCCTTCACATTCCCGAACAGCGTTACTCAATATACAATACTTATTATTTCTGTACTTCAGAGCTGCATCTACTTCTTACGTTCAGGTAAGCCCAAAGCGTTCTGAAAAAAGAAAGGCGAGTAAAAAGTCCCGAAAACCCTAATAAAAACTCTGAAAAATCGTGCGGCGCTACGCCGCAACTCTGAATTACAGAAATTTACGAAGATGCGTGTGAAAAGAATCGATCAGTGTTGTACCTTCACAACAATAGAGCCACGTTTAGGAATGTATTTAAATATTATTCAAACGGCAGATAGAAAAAAAAAAACTACTCTGCATGCATTTGTGTGAGAAAGTGAAAGCTCGCAGGATTAGAACATTTTGTAATTTCCATTGTTCGCAATAACAGGAAATAAAAGCGGTGCAGTTGGAAGACAGTTTGATTGAGGGCGAGGGCGAGATGGACGTGTCGGACTCGGAAGAAGAACCGCAACGTAAGAAAACGCGCAATCAATCGGACGGAAACGAGGATGTTGACAGACTTCAGATTCTCAAAGAGGAAAATGACAGTTTGAGATGCCAATTAGAGGCGTACAAGAACGAAGTGTGTATTAATGCGAATCAATTTGCCGATTTTGATGGAATTTGCGCTAAACTTTCTATTTACTTTGTAGGTGGATCTCTTGAAATCGGAAACGAAAGCTGAATTGGAGGCGAAGGAGAAGCAAATGAAGATGCTGCAACAAACGTTGAAGGGTATGCAAGAGCAATTGATGCAATCGCGAAAGCAACAGGCGCAGGACGATCAGAAGATCAAGGATTTGACTGTCAAGCTGAATGCCGTAAAGAAGGAAGAGCCTAGAGAAAGCGAGATTATCACGCTCGACAAAGACGACGATATAAGCGAGGAGCCGCGTACGCCAAAGCAACACATTCTCACCTCTACTTTCGTGCAAGTCACTCAAAAGGATGCTAAACTCATTGGTAAATATATCTTCATATTGAAGATAAGAGTGATAAGAGATAAGAGATTCCGAGAGATTTATAAAAAATGAGACAAAATTTATTAACGAAAAAGAATTCGAAAAATAACAGGCGAAAAAAGGGAACAATTTTTTTAAGACAATTTTGGCGTATTAATTATAAATTGTTAATAATATATTGTTCGCACATTGCAGGACTTATAGCGACGTTTTTGCACATTCATCCGTTTGGTGCGAGCGTAGACTATCTGTGGTCCTATCTACAGAAAATGGAACCCGGCATTAAACCTAACGAAGTTGAAGTTCTAATGCAGCGTTTTCCACAAGTCTTTAAACAGGAATTATACGGCATCGGTGCGAATATGGAGAGGCGTTGGCAATTTTCAGGTTTTAACGTTTATCGCACTCATTGATCGAATTTAGATGATTTAAGTGTAAAAAATTGCGAAAGTACATTTATCTTGTTGTTCTCTCAGCGTTACTACTCAAAATGAGGTCCGCAAGTGCAATCGAAATTTTTCGATTATAAGTAAGTGTGTAACAGTGACAAAGTCCGATGTGGATTAATAAAGTATCTGTATTAATTCTTAATTTTTATGCATAAGAATTCATAGTAGGATTTTAATTGTATCTTGTGCTGACGCATGATAGCGCAATTAACGATCACGGTAAAAATGATATCCAACTAATCTTTAGTGCGATACAATTGTATATAATTTTTTAAATATTTGTTGCGCACACATAATTTTTACAGTAATCGCCGTCACTAGAGCTTCAATTTTATGTTTAAATTTCATAAATCGCATAGATACGGCCAACGCGATATAAAAATATGTATAGTCAAATTGTTATTTTTTTCGAAATTATTTTTTTATAATTAAAATTATTAAAAAATGCGTCTGATAGATAACTTGTGTATTGATGTTCACTCACACGTCTTTACGCATGCGCAATCATTGACAATACAGGCAGGCCAAAAAGTTTATACGCTCGATTCGTAGATACCATGCCGATTGTACCTACTACTTCGCTAAACAGCAGTCAAAAGTTTCGAACTTGACTGTACATAGAAAGACAGTAATACACGACATGTGGTTCTCTCTCAGCTCGCGATTCAGTGCCCATCATGCCCATTTCAGGGCGGCAAAATGGCGCAAGTCGTGTAGCACGCGATAGCACGTTGCTACTTTTAGGTTATGTTAATCAAAAATAAAACAATATTTTACCTGGAGACGTTTGCGACTCGAATTTAAATGAATTATTACGAAGTGCTCGGTTGCAACAAACATTCGACTCACGAAGAGATCAAGCGTGCATATCATCAACGCTTGCTGCGATTTCATCCCGATAAGAATGATACCGCGAACGCAAACGAGTTTCATAATGTGAAAGAAGCCTGGCGAATATTAGGATGTCCACAGTCAAGGAAGCAGTATGACGCAACCTGCAAACAAGAGGAATTAGAAAATGAAGACAGTCTCATATACGCACGTCTCTCACCGAGTGATCTTGAAGCCCCTGCCTTTGAAGACACATTATTTTACCGCTGCAGGTGTGGCGATCGTTACCTCGTGGAGCGCAAAGATCTTCAAGAGAAGAACACTATACTTGAAATAACGTGTGACAGTTGTACTCTAGTCATCATTATTGAAACGTAGCATAAATCAATGTATAATTCATGTAAAAAATATGGCATTATTCAACAATGTCTATAGACATTTTTAAATATGTGTATGTCCTAATTGTAATGAGACTAAACAATTTGTTTTTATTCAAGCGAATGTTTATCTACTTGCCTGGCAAGTGAAATAACGTTAAAGTAAGATGCATTTTTTACATTAATTGTATAAAACAAGATACAACATCCATGGCTATGTAGAAAGAGGTCGAAATCGAACATTTATTTTGTACAAAATATGTTTCTTAGCATAAGAGAACGTGTGTACAATCGTAATAAATTTAAAAAAAAAAACAAAATCTAAAATATCCGGCAACATTCTTTTCTATTTCTTATAAAAAAATGATACAACAGGTAACACATTCTTATAATATAAACTATTGAGCAATATACAAATAAACATGACACCTAGTCTAATCTAGGTCAATAATAAAGATGCATTTGCACAAATTGCATTATTCTCCGATAATGCCATTCATGACATGATTCAGTAGAATCCATATAAAATTTGTCACTGACAATTGATGCCGTGATCTAAGTCTTTTTATACAATTCGCACTAAATGGAAAGATCTGGCTAATACAAATATTCTCCCTTTAGCGAAATCGTTTATTATTGATAAGATTAAAGCTTTTAATCGAAAGTAAAAATGTTTTTCTTTTGCTCTGTGCAAACTTGTATTATTTCACTATTGTGTAAATCTGTATTGCACGTGAATAAGTGCTATTTTTGCATATTGCACCATGATGGAGTAAAAACATGTAATACTGGAAAAAATAGTATAAAAAAGAACAAAAGAGGGAGAAAAATTATTTATCGAATTCTTGATTTGAATCGTTTCGCAGTTTGATTGCTGAAAATCTAATTTTCCTCAATCAATGTCAGCAATATGAAAATATCAGTTTGTAAACATTTATAAAAATATTTGTTTTTAACCAGATCAATGTTTATATAGGCAAGTAAAATCTAAGCTTCTATCATCAGGAAATATCCAAGTTGACAGTTTAAGAAAATCAGCTTGACCAAAATCGACCAAAACAATTGGCCAGTAAATCATACAAATATGACATTTCGATGTAAGAGACATTTGAAATTTCTCATAAAAAGATCTATATAGTCCGAATGGCGCGTCGAAATTGTCGTCGATAGTTTTCTCGTTTGCTCCAGGAAGTATGAGATTCTTCAAATAATGTCATTTTGCCTCGAAGTGTGTTTCAGTACGTCGACGTCTCAGTTCCCTCGTTTTCGTCTGCCATCGTTGACAAATGCTCCTAAATGCCCACATAATAAATCTGTTATGTTTACAACGAATCTCGTTAGGGATGATTGCTAACTTTTGCATCGTTGATGATTCCACTGAATCTTTATAACAGTGAAAATTCAGAAGTGAATCAGCTTTGCCTGATACTGATAAGCTCCTCGTTTTTCCCGTTTATAAGTTTATGAGTCTTGTAAATCTCACGTTTGTACACACCACAACAATACGCGCGCGCGTGTGTTCTGACAAAATAACATAATTATAATTATAATTTTTTTAACGGGCACTTTAAAATCCACCTGGAGATCATTCGCTACATCTTTCATTCATTCAATTTTCCCCCCCTTTTCCTATCCTGCAAAAACTTGATCCATTTTTACAACGCGTACACAGTCTTATCACAATCATACCATGTAACACATGAATCATTGTACAGCGTAAATTAGTTTAGTTTCTACTTAATTGAAAATATGTACACAAGTCGTACAAAGAGGGCGATTGGCTCCTTAGGATGGAGCGCGCTATTTTACCTCAACGTCGAAATCGAGGACAAGCAGTTTCGTCTCCTCGGTACCGTTACGACTACCTACTGCACACACTAGTTTCGTATCACTCGCTCGAATTCTCCACACGACACCGCCGCTACCCCCGCTTTCCAGAGCAACTAGATTCCTAATAAAATCACCTGCAAGCACAACACGAATTGTTCTCGATTTGCATCCTGATAAAAAAAAAACTCTCAACAAACCTTATATAGCAATATACTAACCAGTCTTAACATCCCAGAGCTTTACTGTACCATCATCGGAGGACGTAATCACAAAATGGCTATTGAACTGAAGGCAAGTGACCGCTGACTGATGCTTATTCGGACCGGAGAGAGTCTGAAGGCAGTGACCGCTAACAATGTCCCACACTTTCACGGTAGAATCAGCATTGCCTGACACTAAAATATTATTGCGCAGTTCCATCCCTGAGGTGAGGGACTGATGCCCCATTAGGGTGTGTCTACAAGCACCAGTTTCTACCTCCCATACTCTTATACTTGTATCCAACGATCCGCTAACAACGTGTACACCGTCAAACTAATGCAGTAATGAAACAAAGGCTAATGAACGGCGGGAGACCAAAGAGCAGCATTTAACAAAGTGATAAAATATAGAATGCACTTACTTGGAGGGAATAAACGCGGTTGGTATGTCCGTGTAAGGTATGAAGGCACTCCTCGCGCTCCGGATTCCAAACTTTGACCAAGTAGTCGTAGGCACCACTGACCACCAATTTCCCGTCATATTGCACACATCTGACTGCCGCTAGATGCCCTACGAGCACATGCAAACACTCCCCCGTGTCCACTTGCCACACTCTCAGTGTCGCATCCCTGCTACCACTGACAACCTTGTTACCGTGCAGATGCATACACCTCACCGTCGACGTGTGACCGTATAAGGTATGAATACACTGGCCGGTCTCCGCGTTCCACACTTTCAAAGTACGATCTGTACTACCACTGATAACAATCGTGCCGGACATCTGCGAGGACCATACCCCTCCGGTATGCCCGACTAATGTTCGTAAGCACTGAAACATTGGAAAAAAAAAAAAAAAACGTAACAGTATACAACATTTATCTTTTCTCTTTTCGCGATAACGGAATTCCTGTATCTCTATATATTTTGTTACCTTGCCCGTGACGGCGGACCATACTTTGAGAGTATTGTCATCCGAACCACTAACTATCCGGTTGCCGGAAAATTGCAGGCATGTGATCACATGATCGTCATGGCCCTTCAACACTTTCGGTGTACGGATTGGCTTCGTTCTCCAGTTCATTTTAATATTATGCTGCCGCATATAGGCCTGCTTCCACGGCGACGAGTTGTAACTACCGCTTCGGCAGTTCTTGCGTTTTGGTGGTGGCAGATCCTTCAGATCTTCTATACCAGCCGCCTTGCACTTCTCCTTCCATAATAGATTGTCATCAGCTAAAAATCTCCAATTCCGGCAGGTCTGCGCCGCTTTCAGAAGATCCTTTGGTTCCAGGAAGGCCAACACCGACAATGCCAATTCTTTCGGCAATAGTGATATGAAGTCGCGTTGAAACTGGGGCTCTATGACCTGCATCATGTGACGCACTTGCGTGGGTTCGCATCTCTCTATTAATTCATCTATCGCCAACATTCTTTCCGCATTTGACCACCTCTGTAACGAGCATCAGTATTTTTATTCATTTTTTGACTTACCAAATACAAATTTATTTTCTAATTTTATTAATACAATTTTATTACTATTATTTCAGTCAAAATACTACGCTTATATATATATATATTTGCATAAACACCTGAAATTGCAAGAGCCAACTACTCATTTCTGGAGGAGGATTGTCCTTTGTAGGAATGACACATCTCACATGTTTACCTTTATCATCTAACTTTCTCGCAGTCCTAAAACAAAAAATTAAATCCATATATCTTTTTATATATATATATATATATTTATATATATATTTATTTATATATATATATATTAATTTTATTTTATTCTAATATGTATAAAGATGTTATATATATTAATAAATAAATTCATAAAAATAAACTTAAATAATTAAATTTTTCGTTAGACTATAATTTATTATATATATATATATATATATATACACACACATAATTATAATCTTTACAAAAAAAAGCTGCTTACATTGTATGAGACTTCTCTTCTGGATTAAGTTTTTTACACGGTAGACAACATTCCGTTTCACTCTTTCGCTTTCTTTGAGGCTGGGCATCTGATGGCACGCAATTATATATTGGACTCTGAGTTTGTTCAGAAAGGATTGCTTCTAAGGATTGTGATACAGGTGATTGACAATTGTTGCTCTCAACGTCTGCTGTACATTCGGTGTCACAAAATAATCCACTGTCACTAATCTAAAAGTATTGCAGAGTATTAGTTACAGAGATATTATTAAATTTATAGTTATATTTAACTATTTACAACAAATATAAAATGTAAAAATACAGTTCTATCACTACTCTACTATCTTTATCTCCCTTCTCATCTTCATCTCCTAAAAAAGAAAATTTGCAATATATATAAAAAGAGCTAACGTTAACTTACTTCGCTTTCTCCTTCGCTAGTTTCTTCATCATCTTCGTCTTCATCACCTCCATAATCTTCAGATTCCTCATCTTGTGGCAACACTGAATGCATAGGATCCAAGGAACTTGGTCCTGGAACTCCTTCAATACCCTCAATTGGACTAGGACTGGCACTGCCTAGTTTATTATTGTCAGATATATTGTTGGAGGACGAAGGAGGGACAGACATTACTATGCGCAGTAGTAGTATTAGACTTGTGGATACAGTAACTGTACCTAAATAACACAAAAGTCATTAATATGATTGATATAGAAATTCTTATTGATATCTTTTATCTTTCATACACTTTTCATAAATATACGTATATAAAGCACAATCTCGACCAACAAATGACTCTGACGGAAATGTAATGTGTCGCTGCGGCATTGCAATAAATCACGTGAAAATCACTATAAAGTTGTCAAAGAAAAAAAAAAAGGAAAACGAATATGAATGTATAACACTTTAGGTTAAAATCCGTCAGATAACGATTATCATTATCGTCGCGAGAATTTGCCTAACCTTGAATCGCTTGCACCGCGTACATGCGCTCGCGATTTATCACATACCTTAAAATATTGCAAACAAACAACAACAAATCGACAGCCACACCCTACATATCCGCGCGAGCGGCGATGCGAATTTATGACAAGTTGTGACACGAAGCAACTACGTAAAACGGGAGTCTATACTTAGGACAAATGTCGTTCCTGGTCGTCAGCCTTTGTCAATCGACGAGGTGCTTGATGATACGAATGAGACGGTCCGTGCGTGTCGTGGTTGCCGACGACGACGTTTTACCTCTATCAAAGGAGCATGGCATTCATTTCTTTCGCGTGCGGCGACTGTCGAGGGTAATCTTAGGTTAGAAGTACGAGCGAAATACGGTGCTTGCGGACGGGGCGGACGCGAACTAGGCCAACGTGAGCGTTTGAAGAAAAATAAGTAACGGACGTAAACACGACAAACGGCGTGAATCCATCAGGCGGCTTCCTCGCAAGAAGCTACCAGCTTTTCCTCCGCACCTCCCGACTCCTTTACACTCATTCGCACAGCAGTGCATAGAATAGATCAAGCATAGGTACTACATACACACAAGCGCATTGCATTCGCAAGTAGCATTTTCACGACATTTTACGAGTTTCGCCAAATTTCATGAAAATCCGGTATTTTGTGTTACTCTCAACCATAGATGTAGTAAGTATAGACTGCTCGTTCCCTATCTCTACGTCTAAGGGCGGTATTCATAGTCCGTTCTTATATTCAAGATCGTCTTAAGCACGAACTTATATTCGCTCTCTTCGTCAGACACAATCTATGTGTGACGAAGAGAGCGAATATAAGTCCGTGCTTAAGACAAT